TACACCTCAACATAAAGAAAACAAAAATCCTCACAACTAGACCAATAAGCAACATCATGATAAACAGAGAAAAGACTGGAGTTGTCAAGGATTTCATTTTACTTGGATCCACAATCAATACCCATGGAAGCAGCAGTCAAGAAATTAAAGGACGTATTGCACTGGGCAAATCTGCTGCAAAAGACTTCTTTAAAGTGTTAAAAAGCAAAGATGTCACTTTAAGACTAAGACGCACCTGACCCAAGCCATGGTGTTTTCAATTGCCTCATATGCATGCGAAAGCTGGACAATGAATAAGGAAGATTGAAGAAGAATTGATGCCTTTAAATTATGGTGTTGGCAAAGAATATTAAGTATACCACGGACTGCTAGAAGAACTAACAAATCTGTCTTGGTAGAAGTACAGCTAGAATGCTCATTAGAAGCAAGGATGGTGAGACTTTGTCTCCCGTACTTTGGATATGTTATCAGGAGGGTCCAGTCCCTGCAGAAGGACATCATGCTTGATAAAGTAGAGGGTCATTGAAAAAGAGGAAGACCCTCAGGGAGATGGATTGACGCTGTGGCTGCAACAATGGGCTCAAGCATAACAACAATTGTGAGGATGGTGCAGGACCAGGCAGTGTTTTGTTCTGTTGTACCTAGGGTCACTGTGAGTCAGAACTGACTTGATGGCACCTAATAACAACAACAGCAGGAAGCAGTGAAGTTTGAAGGTGTAGCAGTGTAGGGTAGTTTTCATAATAGTCACGAATAAAGCAAGTTTTCCACATTCTATGTTACACCAAACTTTATTTATTGAATTTCATCACTGCATACTAATGTGTGCATTATAATCATACTTCTAATGTTAGGACTACTTTCTAAGCACTCTTGTCTAATTTTCTTCTGCTGTTTTCAAAGAATCTAGAGATAATAAAAGAAGTTTTATTTTGAAAAGTTTTTTAATGCATGATTTATAAATTATTGCATACTATTAACTACCGGCTCTAGTAAAATGTGCGACGGCAGAATTTGCACTGTGGCCTTCGCCCGGCAGAAAGGACCGTTGCTCGGGTTACGTTAATCTTCCTTCAGAAGGCATTTCTCAGTTGTACACAGGACGGCCTTTAGGAAACTTAAGACTTCGGTGCCTCCAGTTCCTTTGTTTTCCTGTTCTGATGGATCTGCAGACGTTTGGTTTTGCATGCGCTTCTCTTCCCCAGGTTTCACAATGTAGCTTTTTACTATTGTTTTGTGGTATTTCCTCAGCGAGACCATAGCTCTCACACAGTCATTATAAACTGCCTTCAGGTCGGGGTCACCGTTTGAAAGGACAAACTCACGGAGTGAGGGCTGTTTCTCCAGTGACTGAAGAAAGTCCCTGTGAGCTGGTGGCATGTATTGCCTCATATCCTGGAGGAAGCTAGCAGCAAATTCTAAAGGAACAAGAGAAAGTTAAGGTAGTAGTGAGGCCAAACCCAAACCGTTGCCGTCAAGTCCATTTGTTTAATGGTGAACCCAGGTGTTTCAGATTAGGACTGCTCCATGGGTTTTCCGTGGCTGTGACCTTTTAGAAGCATGTCACCAGGGCTTTCTTCCGAAGCTCCTCTAGGTGGGTTGAAACTGCCACCCTCTCGTTCGTAGCCCAGTGCTAGACCATTGGTGCCATCCAGGGACCCCATGAGAAGTAAAAGCAGTCCCATTCCAGGATAAAAGGTAAGAATGTGGTCAGAGTGGGTAGGAGATCACAGACCAACCACAGCAGGAGGCACTGAGGTTACAACTCTTCTATTTGAAGGCTAAATAGTTATTAGTCTTGCTACTAGCAGTAGTGATTATTGTGAAATATTTTCAATTCTGAAAACCATATTAGCTAAATTCATTCTTTCATAATAAAGGTTTTGTTTAGTGCTTCCCCAGCCCCCCACTTTCTTAACATACTTGATCCTTCCAGAAGCTGATAATATAGGCAGAATATATATAATCTGCACTTGGCAGATCATGACACTGATTCTAGGAGCATGTAAGGGATCATTTTTAAATAAATGGCTAAGTTTAAGTCAAAAGCCTATTTTATCCAGCCTAGTGTTTTCCCCTTTGACTGTTAAATAGAAGTCTAGCAAACAGAGAAAAGTAGAAAGAAGTTCTTCCCGGAGTGTCTTCCTCTCCCCTTTCTAAGTCCCAAGAGAGAATATAATGAATGTGTCCCATCTTCAAACTTGGGCAAAGGCATTGCCCCTGGGCCACTGACAATGAACAGTGCCTTCTCACCAAGGTCTCTACCTCTCCAACTTCAGCTCAGTCCTGCCTCATGAGTAGGTGGCTTTCCCTTTCTGAATCTGATCTTACATTTTCAGCACACGTGATCTTGGCTTCACCACAGTTAATTATGCCGTAAACTTTACGTTCCAATGTTGAGATCAACAGTGTGATGAACTTGGGGTTGAGTTTGGGCTCTACCGCTTTCTAGCTGGTCAGCAGGGAGCCAGACACTTATCCTCTTTAAGTTTCTGCTTCTTTACCTGTGAAATGCAGTAATGACCATACATCCTAAAAGGGTTGGATAAGCTCAGAGGAGATGCTGATGGCAAGGCACTTCTCAAATATTAAGGTCTACCATATTTAATGTAAAAGGCATTCATTGTTTGTCATCATCCACTTACTTTCTCCAGTGTTGTGCTGGATGCCCAGCAGGACATCGAAACACTGAAAGATGCTGCTTTGGCCTGCACTGCCCCCTGCGTATTGCTTGGGGGTATCCCAGACCCCTTCATACAGCAGACCATCTGGCAGCCGGGCGTTACCTTTCCAGCTAGGACAGGAAGGAAAAAGTAAGAGGTCTTTGAATTAATCGTCAATATTCAGATATAGAAATCTTGCAACAGGAGAGGAACAGAAGGTGACATGGGCTAAAAGGATTTCATGATTCTCCTTCCACACTCTTTCTTCCTGATTATTTTCATGAATGAGGATAATTCCTGAAAGTAGAGAAGCCAAACCAGCACAGTTGCTGTTGAGTCACTTCATCTCATGCTGAACCCATGTGTTTCAGATTAGAACTGCTCTGTAGGTTTTTCATGGCTGTGACCTTTTGGAAGCATATCTCCAGGCCTTTCTTCCTAGGCACCTCTGGGTGGGTTCAAACTACCCATCTTCCGTTAAGAGCCCAGCTACCAAATAATAACAAAATTCTCAGCAAAGTGGACAGCAGCATTCTAAGAACGGATCCTTAACTTCGCATTACCACAAATCACTCCACTCTCTTTAAAATGACTAGCTTTCCCATCCCCCTCCAGTGCATCCCCAGACAAGTATAGCAGAGAGATTATGCTTTTTCTAAATATCTATTTTAAAATGAGAATAAAAATTATTATCTACATTTGATGCCTATGGGGACCATCATTGGGAATTTGGTGTGCTCTTTAAATGTTCAAGAGAAAACCCAAATTCAAGCATAAGATCACTTACCCAGACAAGTATATGCGAAGAACATTGAAAAATTCGTTTGGGTCCACATGTGCTGTAAAAAGATGGCGTGTTTAATTAAGTGGCCTCAGAGTTATAGTAAGAAAACAAGATGTTGTAAATAATTGGTATTGGATTTCTGCACAGGGGCTGCAGGAAATATATCAGGTCAATCTCTACAGCACAAAGGCCCTGTAAGCATGCCCGCAGTCACCGGTCTCCCACAGAACAGTATTGTTCTAGGGCTGGTACCCAGTGTTACCTAGGAGCCTGGGCTTGCTCATATTCAGAAGACCAAACAGTTTAAACTGTCAACATTTCCTTAGCGGGTATGTGCTGACATGAAAGCTAAGCTAACCACATAAAGAAAGAAACTAAACACACACCCACACAAAAACAGCAAACTTATGGATCACATCACTAAGTCTTCCTCCCCAAAGCTTACTAACGCCTTTGATTGGGAAGCCCATCTCCTTGCCATGGGCTAATGAGCAGCAACTCAAAGCCCAGCCATAAACAATCACATACTGGTTAAGGCTGTTCAGTAGGAAAAAATTTTCTTCTGCTAATCTCTGTTTATGTTTTTTTTTTTTTTAATCAGTGTTTTCTTTCTTTTTTTTAATATTTTTCTGGTTGTTAATTTTGCAACTACTTCGGAGTTTAACGGCTTTTCTACGTTGCTTCTTAGTTAGCTTGTGAAAAAGAAGAATTAGCAGACAGCACCTATCAAACAGCAGCTACATATTTCAGAACTTCAAACAGCTGACTCATTTGGCAAGTTTCCTATTTAAGACCTATGTCATCTTAGGTCATTTACTCATCTCCCCAGATTTAGATTCTCTTATCTGTAAAACAAAAATAATAAAATCTACTACATAGAAAGGATTTTGATGGAGATGAAATACGTAAAGTGAAAACCCACTTAATCAATGTTGTTTTTGCTTCCTCTTCCTCCGTAACTCTACACTTCAGATAAGCAAAACGTTTGATTGCCAGCCTAGAATGTTGTACCGCACAGATACTTACTGTGAATTTGTTTAAACACTTCACGGGCTTTGCACAGGCAAGAAGTTATCTCACCCAGTGCCTTTTTTAAAGCATCCTGGTCCTGATGTTGCATTGCATTAAATAGAATGGGAATTTCCTGAAAGGGGAAAAAAGAAAAAAGGCATACACTTACGGTTTCCTTGAACTAAACGTTGGCGTAGAATAAATGACTTCCAAGCCTTAATCCCTAAAGTAAATACGGAATTTTCCACTTCTTTCTTGGGTTGAACATCCTCTGACCAATTGGCTGATGTCCCTATTTTTATATAAGCTTGGATTTGTCTTTATTCAGATTGCATTTACATATTTATATTTCTAATGGAGCCCTGGTGCAGCAGTGGTTAAGAGCTCAGCTGCTAACCCAAAGGCCAGCAGTTCCAGTCCACCAGCCATTCCTTTGAAACCCTATGGGGCAGTTCTACTCCGTCCTATAGGATTGCTATGAGTCAGAATCGACTCAATGGCAATGAGTTTGTTTGTTATCTAATAGACAAAACTATTGGATTTATATCACTATGCTTTATAATTCCAATGCCAAATTGCATGGAAAATATTTCTTTCTTATTGGAGTATCAAATTTGATTCTCCCTCTCTATATATTTAGTACCTATATTTTATATTTTAGTTGATTCACAAAAATGAATAAATATAGATATTTCTATCAGATGATCGCCTACCCCAACTAAATTATCAGTTGCTGCATAAAGTCAGGATAATATCATTCATGCTCAATTTATTTCAGTTACTAAATGATTATTTTGGTTATGTGAATCAAGATAGATAAATTTTCCTGTGTCGATGGACATACTTTGATTGCAGAAGCAGCTGCATTTTCCACCAGTAGAGACACCAGGAAGAATCCCTTGCCGCAGTCTCCACCAGGAAATGAGAACAGAATTTCCATGTTCCTAACAAAGTGGATCAAAGAAGGCAATAAATTTAACAAAAATAATTATATATATTTGTATAGTTTTCAAGCATTTTATCTTATTTTGCAACTGAAATAATTTTATGAGCTATGTAGGGCAGGTTTTACTATCCCCATTGTGTAGGTGGGAATATGAAGACCCAGTTACGTTAGGTAGGTTGTCTAAGATCATGTAATTAATAGCAAATTAAGCTGGGACTTGAAATTCCATTTTTATGACTCCAAAGACTACTTCTGCTTCCATTATCCTATTATTCCATTTTTTACATGCATACATATGCACACTTACCATATATATACACTCAATGTTTATAGAGATATCAGGGAGGCATATAGTTTTAAGAAGTAGTCTTTTTCTATAACTAACTAAATAATATATTTATATTCATATTTTTATCTGTGAAATTGTTTCAATTTCTCAAGGATTCTAGGTTTATCTGCTTTACAAAGAAATTGACTGATAAATTCAGATAAGTGTTTAGACCGTATTTTTCTGTTCTATCGATGTTTTGGAGTTGGTGTAAACATGACTTCCGTGTGTATGTCTATGAGCTTTATGGTAGTTAAATTCATAGTCTTTGAAGCCAGGCCACCTCTGCAGCTTACTTGTTGTGTGAGTTTAAGCAAGCTATTTCATCTCTCTCTGCCTCAGTGTTCTTATCTGTAAAATGGAACTGATGGCATCATCCTCCAGTTTTAAATCCTTCCATAGCTTCCTGTTTATTTTAAGATACTGTTTGAAATCCTCACTGCAGGCAATAAAGTCCTGCATAATCTTTTCTTGTAAACCTGTTTCTTTCCATCGTTCATTATGTATCAGCTACCCTAGCTGTCCATCAGTTCTGATAAAGGACCAAGGTTTTTGTCCCTTCACGGGTTTCACATTTGCTCTTCCCTCCACCAAAAACACTCTACAACTCTTCCTTCATCCTAGTTAATTCCTAAGAAGCCCTGGTAGCACATTGGTTAAGCACTCATTGCTAACCTAAAAGGTTACAGTTCAAACCTACTCAGCGTTTCCGTGGGAGAAAGACCTGACCATCTGCTTCCTTAAAGATTACAGCCAGGAAAACTACATGGGCAGTTCGACTCTGTCACATGGGATCGCTATGAGTTGGACTCCACTCATGGCACCTAACAACACCCTATTCATTCTTCAGGACTCACCTTAAATAATCTACTTCAGGGATTCCTCCCTTCACCCTTTTTTATTTGATTAGCGCTCCCAGTACTTTATCTTCTTGTCTTTTCTCTTTATCAGTTTCTATAATTTTTGTATACTACTTTCCTTTCCTTAGTCTAGCTCTGTGAGGGCAGGTTTTTCTAGTTGCTGTCAGATCGATTCTGACTCTTGGCAATCCTACGTGGGTCAGAGTAGAACTGTGCTCCATAGGGTTTTCAGTGGCTGAATTTTCAGAAGTAGATCTCCAGATCTTTCTTCCACGGTGCCTCTGGGTGGACTCAAACCTCCAAGCTTTCAGTTAGCAGCCAAATGTGTTAACTGTTTGCACCACCCAGGGACTCCAATGGCAGGCTTATACCTATTATGACTACCTTTGTTTCTCTAGCTTTTAACCTCTGCTTTGCAGTACATAGGTAAAAACCAGAGTGGGGAATTGGTCAAAAAGAACAGGTTTCTGTATGGTTACTTATTGACGCGGGCAACTAATTCTGGCCACAGAGGTCATTAATTCATAGAAACACAGAAATGTGTGCATTTTGTATTTATGCATATTGATTACACGCATATTCATGCAGGTAGTATTTACGTATATAACGATAGCTATAATATCAAACAGAGACAGTCATATCACAGTCATAGACAAGGACTGGGATTATTTGCTCTTTAAACAATTACTTGAATTACTTTTCGACTGAATTCAATAGATCATTTAAAAAACCCACTTGGGGTATATTGATCAACCTACATTCACTCTGAATAACAAATAATTTCTAGAGTAAAATAAAAAACAAATACTTACTCATAAGTCAAGGGCCTATGAAATCAGCAGGAAGCAATGGGTCATTTTGGAAGAGAGAGAAAAGGAAATTTACAAATCAAACAATTTTGCGTTGTTGTTATGAGCTTTAATATTACCGATCTAGTAAAAGTAAGACGTAAGTTAAAAAAAAATTAATGTGATTTTTATATTTCTCAAGTAGGAATTGCAAACACTTAGGACTTTATAAGCAAAATAAACTAAATACGGAAAGAGCATACATGGATAGTCACAACTGGTTGTTACTAATAAGAATACATTCTAAATCAAACCCTTTCAATTGTGGTACCTCTATGTACAGAATACTCCTCTGCAGATAGATCCCCTGGGGCATCACAATTCATTCCTCCCTTTATTGTAGAAGATCTCACAACTAAATGGTTCAAAGGGGCCTAGATTCTAAGCAGGCTTCTCTGTGAGCCCAGAAATTGCTGCCTCTACTGCTCAGGATATGTTGATTTTTTTTTTAACTTGACTGGCTACTAAAAATTAAATTTGTCGAATTTCAAAAACATGTTCATCAAAAGAAGCCAGACACAAAATGTACTATTCTGTGATTTCATTTACATGAAATCCAACAACAGAAAACAAACGAACATATTTTGGGTGAGAGAAATCAGAATATATTTGCCTGGGCCAAGGACTTGACTGGAATTGACTGGAAAAGAACACAAAGGAATTTTCTGGGGTGATATAAATATTCTCCACCTTGCCTGGAGTGGTGGTAACACATATAACGCTCATTACCCTGAAGACCTACGATTTGTGCATTTCAGTGTCTGTCAATTTTACACCTCTCTCATGTATGTACAATACGTTGGTAGTTGTAGATACAACAGTCTAAGAGAACTTACTCAACAACAGAGCTGTCCTGGCAAAAATTAAAGCCATGACTGACTGCTTCTTGATTTAAATAGAATGCACACCTTCAATTCCTGTTATAATCATGATTTACATACCCATTGGGGTCCTTTTTCTTCCAGTTTGCCAAGACACAGTCTGCATAAACCAGAATAGGGGGTAGCCCCAACTTCTTAGAGAGTTCACAGTAAGGAACAGCAATATTTCTCGGCAGAACCTAAATAAAACCCAATATTTAGTATTAACCTTTGATGTTTCTTACTTTGTCTTCTGCTTCTGGGGTGCTAAATATTATCCGTTTTATATGATAGCACTTTGAAACCAAACAATTGTTAATTTTTTTCTTCCTCGTTTCGGGACTTAATCCTGGTGATGGTTAAATGTTCATGTTTTGAACTTGTGTTAATGTGGACAATCCTGACCACAGAGAAAAAAAAAAAAAAAAGAGGTAAACGGCAAGAGGAACAAGCATAAGCTGCACCCTTGAGTTATGATTCAAGTGGCTTCAGACTAATTTACTATGCCTGGTGATGATGATGATGGTTTAACCAAGAGGACAGGATGTCAGAACAGAATCATTGACACTTAAATCACACCTAGACATGTGCTTTCTGTTGCAGAACGTGTGCCTCTGGGAATTGTCACGTACTGATTGGCAAATTATTTACACATGTTTCAAAAGCAAAGCGATTTTACCCGTCTCTGATTCAGAGAAAAGATCAAAAAGGCATAAAAGTGGAAGAAAGTTATAATTACCTTGATATGACTTGAGAGAAAGAAAGGTAATGTTCAAACAATCTTTATTATAGACACTTACGCAGCCGCTGAGAAACTCAGATGCTGACTTCTTATTCATTCTCAAGAAAAAGTGCTGCATATTGACTTAGTTTTTGTCCGTTTATTTTCTCTTGCCTACCATTTGCTCACTTAAAGACTTTTACCTTGTATTTTTTTCCATTGCTAGTTCCTCAGATCCTTGTCAGAATGTGTTATACAAAAAATGAATAAATTAAAATATACATTTTCGTGTTTTCATAATTCCAATCTCCAGTCTGATAAATGTATTCCTTGCCAATGATGCCATATACTTTCTGGTTTCCACATTGTTTGATTATGATTTCCTATTTCTTTTCTGCTCCTCTACTCTTGTGTAAGTAAGTTCTGACAATCTTTCAGGAAGTAATTCAAGTCCGACTTCTTCCTTGAAGCAGGGCATGAGCATATCAACCATTGTTTCCCTCCTCTGGATTCACTCGTTCTTCTGTACCTAGCATATGCTGCCTTTCATAATGGATTCTCTTTTCCTGTATAATCCCTATGCACTTAGCTAGATTCTGACATTCTCGAAGTTTAGTAACACTGTGCACATAGCTATATTTTAAGTTAGATTGTAAGACTGGCACTAGTCTTAAACTTCTTCACTTAGTGTAATTCTAGGATCTAGATGTGGTAGGCACTCAATATGATGAATATAAGGAAGTTTAAAGTGTCCCTTTAATTATGAGGAGCAGCTTCCTCTTCTTTTCATATCAGAAATGACCCACCACATAGGTAATCTGTAACTGTTAATCTATCTTTAGGGTGTGGTGAGAAAAATGACTTAATAAAATGCCAGTTACCTTTATCCACAGAGACGCAACTTCCGCTAAATGATAGAAAATGCTTCCAGAATCTATTTCATTCCTCTTGTAGTTTAAAGGTTAGGCATTGCAGTCGGTCTTTCTTTCATGGGATTACAGTAGCCAGATAAAATATAGGATGCATTATGCATGAGTTATAATGATGAATTTGCATTATGCATGGGGCAAACATAAACTAAAAAAAAGTACTCATTTGTCTGAAATTCAGATTTAACTGGACTTCCTGTGTTTTTACTTGCTAAATCTGGCAATCCTACATGGAATGCGAAGACAGGGCTTTGTTGCACTACTGGGTAGAGACTGAACAGAGGTAAGTTGGCTTAGTCTGCACACATTATTTGACCTCCTCCGTTCATCTTCCCTACACCAATCTCTAGGAACCTGTTGGGCTTAGAGTGAAATTGTTATCAAGGATGAATTTGTAATGGCTGTATTCATAATTTCTGTTTTTATATAAAATAAGACTATGACTAACATACAGACATATACTAAAATGACATCATTTTAGATCTAAGGTTATCTAATGTTCATGAAAGTAGAGTAAAACCAATATATTTTCTATATTGACAGGTGTAAGATAATGCTTTAGCATTAGCTGAGAAGAGCTGTAAACTGTTTATACCTCCCCAAAGTCGTAAATAGAGAAAATATGTCATGTTCTAAGATACTTCATGTAGTCTTATCTGCAATAGCAAAATATTAAAAACAAGCAAAGTATGCATCAACAAAGGATTGAGTAAGTAAACCAAAGTTCAGACTCAATGAAAAATTAGAGTCATTTCAAAGGATGATGATTTGGCAGCAACTCAAAAATGCCTGCATTATAATTTAAATGAAAGAAACATGATAGATACGTATATGCACAGGATAGAGTCACTGTGTTATAATGTATAAGTAAAAGACTAAAACATGATAGCAGTTGACATGTTCATTGAATTATTTTTCCTGTTATTCAAATTTTGGAAAATGCAGTTATATTGTTTTTAGAATTCTTACATTAAATTTAAATTAGAACATCTGCCATGTAATATAAGAGATATTAGGAAATCTCCAAACCTTACAGACATCTTCATCACCTCGATTCCACACATACGCCATGGTGATGTACCCCAAGACCAGATGTGCAAGGCGCTGCAACTTGTGCCCACGGAGCTCATCAATGCTGAGCTGTGACAACTGAGAACACATGAAGGGATTGACCCCAATCAATATAGGTGATGTTTTTGGCTTCAAAATCAAGTCAAAAATGTTAAGAAGCTATAAAAAGAGAAGAAAATATAATACACAATTCAAACCTTTTCGACTTCTGCTCGTAATTGGCCATTCTCAATCAGGACAGGCAAATTTCTAGCAATGGATATCCAGGGAGCATATGTATGAGGTAGCTCCTCCTTGAAAAAGAGAAATAGGACTTTTATTTACTAATAGAGGTTACTGTAAAATAGGACTGGCTTCCCACTGTTAGTCTGCTTTGCCCCTAAATCCGTTCTGTGCAAAGCTGCCCTGACAGGCACCTGTGTGTCTAGTAAGGCCAGTGCACACAGTGCCACCTACACACACAGGGCGTGACACTTCCCCTGTGTCCCTCTCTGTTCAAACACCTTCATCTCTTCTTCTAAGTTCACCTCAAAAATTCCACTAAAATTTTCCTGACTACACCTTTCCACACCCATCTCCCTTATTATGAATCCTACAGATCATGCACCTGTTCATATTGTTAAGTAATTTTCTGTCATCCGCTATTTTTTTGCTTCTCAAGTAGATTTTAAGTTCTTTGAATGGAAGAAAAATGAGATTTAGTAAATGTCAGTACCGGACTAGACAATTGGATCCATAATTTCATATATATTTCTCATTTAATTCTTGTAACAACCCAAAAAGTTGATTATTATAGCCATAGCACAAATAGAGAAACAAAGAGTCAGTTTATGTAACTTGTAACTATATATATATATATATATATATAGTTTATTAGAATTCAGATCGGAGTGTTTCCAATTTTCAATAATCCATGCTCTTTTTACTTGCCTCACTCTCTGGTGACAAGGATGATGTCATGCTTTTAATTCCATATTTCTCATAGGACCTTACACAGTACTGGGTATACAGTAGGTGCTACATATATATACATGTTGATTGCCTACTTTGGCTTCACTATAGGCTTATCTTTTGCCCAATAAATGCAAATGAAATCCAAATACAAGTGCCTCCCTAGAGCCTACGTATTTATGATCCCATCTCAAAGAGAAACATACAAACAAAAGACCTAGGAAGCTTCCTGCAAGGAGATGCCAATCCCTCAACAACTGCCCATACACCCACTCCTATGCCTCTTTCACAGGCTGCTTTGAGGAACAGCCTTAGCAGGGTCATCAACATTGAACCGTGGGGTCTAAGTGCAAATGGAGAGATGAGCTCAGATAGACACGGGTGAAGTTTCAAGCTTCAAAACAAAGTTAGTATTATAAGTAAGCTATAAAACAAGAAGACTAATGTCACACATAATTCAAAAATTTTCAACATCTGCTTGAAATTGGCTAGTCTTAATCAGTTGAGGCAGATTTTTAGCAATGGACATCCAGGCAGCATATTCGCTAGATACCCACCCTTCTTGTTTGCCCTGAACTTTTCTCCTTGACCACACATACGCTATGCTTTAGTATTTTCAGGAATAATTTTTTCATTGTTGTTCTGGGTTTCACTGTGCAGCACACACAAATTTTTTAATGTTGCTGTTTCTCAAATTAACAGAAATACATACTTTTTTTCCTTATGCATCACGATCAGTATCTCATTTCACAGCACTTTCAACAAATGTCACCTTCAATCAGTAATATACTACTGGTTCAGAGAATCTCTTAATGGTATAATGTAATATAAGGAGCCCTGGTGGCACAAAGTGAAGAATAACTCAGCCTCATTTAACTTGTACTAGATTAGAAAATGTAGTTTGTATCTATTTGGGATCAGAAGATTTTTTTTTTCCTTTGGGATAGGAAGCTGATGAAAAGATTATAAGAGTTAGTCATTTTTGAGCTCATAATTTGTAGGAAAGTTCTTCAGTGAAGAAACAAAAATAACCCTTAATCTGTTTTCTCATTTTTCAAGACACTGAATCTACCTCTTTAAGTATCTAAAGTAGCAGCATTATTTTTTAAGTTGTCCAAGAGTTTTATTTGTTTCCTTTTTGTTTGGGGGTTTTGCTTTAACCCTTGGGAGGATATGTTCTAGAGGTCTCCATAATTACCATGGTTGGTTCATTTTTTTTAAAAGAACCAACTTTTAAAAAAAAATTTGATATGAGGTTTCTGTTGTCTCTGAAAAAGACAGTTTCATTGTACCATTGATAAGTGGTACAATCCCAGTTGTGACATTTTGGTGTGTATATGGAGCACACAAAAGTCCTGGCATTTTTGTGTGTCTATGGAGGCCAGAGGGGGACAAGTTTGGGTATTATTGAATTGCATATATAAAGCAAGCTAGGTACTTTTGGTAATAAAATTAAAACATACATGTCATGTTCTTAAAATAACTTAGTCATTTGAACAGGAAACTTAGATTGGGAGTAAGGGGTTACTTTATATCTGTCTAAATTATGCAAGGTAGTCACATGATTTTATTTCTAATTACAGTTAGGTTAGTCGGAATCTCTAACTAAGACTGTATTTGCTGCATTTAAAGGTGTTCTCTAGCATGTAGACTTCAACTGAATGAGCTACAAATAAAGACATACTGGTATAAAATTTACACAATTGTCACAAGATGGCTAAAAACCTAGTGGAGAGAAGCCCAAAACCCTCTCCTGGAACTTCATGTACCATATTAAACCCAAGAGTGAATAACACTAATAATAATAAAAAGCAATGTCTTGTCATCTCTTCTCTAAGACAGGCAGCATAGCAGAACGGTTAACATCATGGGGTCTGGAGCCAGACTGCTAAAGGCTCAAATCCTAACTCTGGTACTGACTAGCCGAATGAGCTTGGATAATGACTTAAATTCTGCATTCCTTCTATATCTCTCATCAGGGGAATAAGAATAATAACATGCATAACTTTTAGGATGGTCATGAGGATGGAATGGGTTAATATTTGTAAACTGCTTAGAAAAAATGCTACGTAAGTATTGGATGATTAAAATATTGATGACAAGTTAGTTTACATGGTACTCTTTCAAAGACAAATTAGGAAAATGTAGTTCTTATAGCAAAGATACTCACATACCTTGTACTCCTTCGAAGGTAAAATTGGCAACAACATCAAAAAGAAGTAGCTCAGACTCTCACTCCAATCTTATGCTCAGTGAACAACAAGCCACATAAATGCAACACAAAAGTTACTAGATGTGCCATCTCAGAAACCTAATCAAATTAGGAACCCACACTTTGTATGATTTAGTGTCTCAGCTGATAAAGGAGTTTCTCTTTGACTCATGGGCCATTTATGACTTTGGGTTTTTTCCAAACGTCTCTGGAAATGCCCTTGGATCAAATCCACTTTTGATGTCTTAGTGTGATTCTTTCTTAGAGTCAAAATTATCTGTACAATTTCCTTATTTCATCTCTCTACATACCTGTGTGAGGTAAACAAGGAGAGCATCTATGACTAAATTTCTAGGCAGAACATTTTAAGAAAAGGTAAGTGAAATCCAGGGTATTCAACCTCTGCCTCCAATGTTGGCAGTGCTTTATCCATTTGTTAAGTACAAGTTACTGAACCATATTTGTCCAGTAGAAGTTAACTAGTCAAGTAAAGTAATGAGAAGAAATTATTTCAGTGCCCTCTCTTACCAGTGGATTTGGCAGAGCGAAGCCCATATCTTTATCTATATGGAATTCTTCACCAATTTTCCAAGAGCCTTCCATAGCAGATACGTTATCCCCTGGCATTCTTGTAGTCTACTCCTGTAGGAGACTTGCTGAAGAGTTTCAGAGCACCTATTTATTACAGTAGTTGCCATAACCAGTAACCACACCAGGTCACGTAAGCAGTGAAAAATGACTTCCACTTTTGGAATAGTTTCATTTTCTGATTTCTTTATCTGTCATCCAGTAAATCTAAAACTACAAAAGCATCTGTGTTCACCAGAAAAAGTGCAAATTTGTATCTCATATTGATTCTTTATTACTAAGAAGACTGTTTGCTTACTGCCATATGGAAGACAGAAGAGTCCTGATAGAAATAACTAAAGCCTTGAAAACATGTGACCGAAGATAAATATTTTATGGAAAACTTTAGCACTCTTAGTTAGAATAATAAATGTGACCATGGCTGAATTACCCCCACTATCATCCAGTTATCGTTGTCAGCTCTGAGAGTCCTTTGAAAATATCAGTGTCACGTTTCAGCAGCCCTGAAGCACAGCCAGTGATGTGCTGAATGGTTGTCGAATGGCTCTGAAGTAGAAAAAAGTGAAAGCATATAAAAGAATTCAGAAAGATAATACCTCTTAACCTCCGAATTTTTGAAACGAACCCTTTATCTATATTCACAATGATACTATTCTCTTTTCTTCACATTCCTAATAAGTAGTTTTTGGAAAGATTACCTCCTTACTTTATCTGACTGCCAGAGACTGATGGTGCAACAGTACTGCACATTTGGAGTCTTTGTAATATGTTTTTAAAAAGTTGGGGAAAAGGATAAAATGCTTCTGTTAAAATGCAAACTAAGGCTGCACTTGGTAAAGTTTTCAGGGACATTCAGGTCTACGGTCACTCAGCGGCGTTGTTCGCTCTTACTAATAAAACTGGAGCAAAAGCAGAAGCCGTGTCTTTCCTTCTGATAATTCAAGGAGAAAATAGAAAAAGTGAATGTTCAGTGCATTGGGATACAATGCAGGGGCAGCCATTCAGCTTCTTAGGACTTGAAATAAAATTTTAATAGCTCGTGGCTTTGGCTATATTCTAGAAAAGTTCTCACTATTTCACTTTATATGTCTTTTTTTTTTTTGTCGCTGCTTATTTTAAAGCATGTAGTTTACAGTAATATGTTCTCTGTGTAACAATGATATGGAAAACTGAAACCAAAATTACACAACAAAGAGAATGCCAAGGCCAAATTTCTTTAACAACATGATTCATGAAGCCGATAGTTTTGAAAGCAGGCCAAAGGAAGAGAACAAAATGTCATGAAGGCCAATCATACCTCCACGGAAGCCAAAAAGTACCAAGGAAAACATTGATACTTAGAAGATGTATGACCATGCCTGTGATTTTTTCATTCTTTGTACCTGAATTTTTAGATGAGTAAGTCAAAATGAAGGCTTGCAATGGAGCATTAGATGATTCTGTCTTGGAAAAAAACTCTCAGGATTGTTTCCTTAAGAAACATGGCTTGATAAAACTTTCTCTTGACTTCACTTATCCAGCTAATTTACTCAATCTGTCCTACCATTGATTTCAAACACAATTATGCTTTATTGCTCCAATTTCATCTCTACCTTTTTTAACTTCTCGCCCTTTCATATTTCTGAAACAACATTCTCAATTGATGCTTCATTCATCTTGATTTTTCTTTAGTAATAACCACTTATCCTGAAACCCTTTTCACATGGCTTCTGAAAAACATCTGACTCTTACTATTGCTGAGAGATTCTTTATCTCTCCCTTTAGCTTTTTACCTGTGCCCAGGTCATTATCATAGAGAGTGCTGAAGGTCAGAACTCAGTCTTTTGCTTTATGTCCTACGAGAGCCAAGGCTTTACATGAATTTATCTGGCTGGTATACATCACCTATTTTCATGGCTTGGATAATCTCTTCTCTATGATGATTGTATAGCCTGACCTATCTCCATAGCTATAGACTGCATTTCTAACTGCTGGTAAACACCTCCATCTGTATATCTTGTTATCCTCTCTCATCGGAGACTTCATTGATTACAGGACTATTACGAGGGGGCCTGCAGAGAAACTTTTATCCAGGGCCATGATAAGCACAAATTTTTCTCATAGTATGCCACCCTGTACAAGACATTCAACTTCTTCTTTGCTATTACATTATGCTTATTTATAAAGGTAGTTATATTTAGAACAAATAATTCTCCTTTAAAGATTCAAATGATATAGAACATGCGAAGAAGAATGGAAGAAATGATAGAAATACCAACATCAATGATATTCATCATTAATATTTTACTGATCATATTTTCCACCTTTTTAATGCAAATTAATAATATCCAACATTTCCCAAGTACTTACTAGTGTCAGGAATTTTCTAAAAACTCTCCTTATAGCAACTAATTTATCGTTTATAATTGTCTTATAAGGAAAATATCATGATATCTCAAAATAAAATTAGCATGATTCAGGGTAATAGGGAATAGGTGATTCTATGCCTCTAGTTACCTGCACAAAACAAAATTAAATACTAACTTAGGTGGAAAAACAATCATCTTAGACTTCAAAATATTTCTACAATCACTAAAAAAGAGAGAGAGAGAGAGAGAGAGACTATGGGAACAGACCCACAAGGAACTGGATAAAAGAAAAAACAGGTACATCTTTAAATTCATCTGGTTAATATACTCAAAAAATAAAAGACAAGATTTGGAAATTTTGCAGAAGCTAGAAAATACAAAAAGCAACCCAACTGATATTTTGAAATTAGCGTAAGTAAGGAAAGAATTCACGAACTCGCAGATACGTCTGAAGGAAATATAGATTAAAATAGGAAGGAAAATATAAAGAGAGAGAGGAAGAGAGAAACGGAGGGTGAGGTGCAGAAATCTGATATGATCTGAGTCTCACAGGATGAGAAGAGAGAGAATTGAGAGAAGCTATATTTGAAGCAGTAAGCACTCAGAATTTTACAACCATAACGGAAATACTAAGCTACAAACAAAAGACTACATACCTCACTGGGTTAAATGAAATGAAAAACATACCATGGGAAAATTGATCAAAACCAAAGTAAAAATGTGTGAAATATTAAAGATGTCTAGAAAAAATAAACACAAGTTACTTTCAAAGGAGCAACTGTAAGACTGATGCTGAATTTTCACATTAATGATTGAAACCTGAGAACAACGGAACAATGTTGGGGTCGGGGGGCGGGGGACCAGCCAAACAAGAATTCTATACTCACAAAAAAAATATTATTCAAGAAAGTAAATAAAATAAAAATATTTTCAGGCAAGTAAAAATTAAGAATTTATCACCAGCAAGCCCACAATCAAGGAAGTAGTATTTTTTAAATGAAAATAATACCAGAAATAGCAATAAATGAAGAACAGTAAAAAGGGTTAGCTATCTGACTGAACCTAAATGAACGTCTACAATATAAAAATAATAATTCTTGTAATAATCAGTAGCTGTGGAGTTTTATTTATTTAAATACAAGGCAGAATGAATGAAAACACATCATCACAACAATTGCATGAATGTGAAGAGGGTATAAATGGTATTAAATTTTTTGCTTTTTCTGGAAGGGAAATGAGAATTAATTTATAAGAGATTTTGAAAAGTTACAGATGTTTGTTGTAACCTTAAGGGTAGCCATCTTTTTTAAATGTTGAAAGAATGTGTAAATAACAAACAAATAGATGGGAAAACTGATTGATAAAAACAAATCTTAACACAAGAGAAGACACAAAATGGCCAATGTATTTTCTTCTCATTACTTACCTGGACTAATTAACTTCTTCTGGACAAATGTGGTTCAGGAATTTCTACAAATGGATACACTGCCGACATTGGAGGCAGAGTTTGGATAACCTGGGTCTCACATTTCTCAAAACTTTCTGTCTAGAAATTTAGTCATAGATGCTCTTCTGGTTTATCTGACACAGATAAGGAGAAAGATGAAATAAGGAAGCTCTGGAGAGTATCTTGAATCTATAAAGAACTGTACTATAGAAATCAAAAGTTGATTTAATCAAATGCATTTCCAGAGGCATTTTGAAATAAGCCAAAATTATAAATGGTCCATGAGTCAAAGGGAATACCCTTTTTTAGCTGATACACTTTAAATTGTACAAAGCATGGGTTCCTAATTTGATTAGGTTTCTGAGATGGCGCGTAAAGTAACTTTTGTGTTATATCAATATGGCTTGTTGTTGACCGAGCATAAGATTCAAGTGAGAGTCTAACTTGAATAGCTCACTCAGGTATTAAGTAGCAGAGCTATGATTTAGACTTTAAGCACTCTGACCCCAGAACCGATGGCCTTAACCATTTTATTCTACTGCCTCTCTTAAGAAAAGAAATGATCACAAGGTGTTATTTGTTTTACTGTGTTTTTTTTTAAATTGTATTTTAGATGAAGGTTTACAGAGCAAATTAGTTTCTCATTAAACAATGAATACACATATTGTTTTATGACATTGGTTGCTGTCCCATGACATGTCAACACTCACCCCTTCTCAACCTTGGGTTCCCAGCTTTCCGGTCCTCTCCCGCCTTCTCATCCTTGCCCCTGGGCTGGTGTGCCCATTTAGTCTCATTTTGTTTTATGAGCCGGTCTAATCTTTGGCTGAAAGGTGAACCTCAGGAGTGACTTCAGTAGTGAGTTAAAGGGGAGTCCGGGGGCCATACTTTCAGGGTTTCTCCAGTCTCTGTCAGACTGTTACCGAACGCAGTGGGCTCGTCACTTGTACTCTCTTTGAGAATAACTAAGAGTCAAGTGGATTTAAAGCAAGGCGCAGTTTATTACTCGCAGTGAGTAAGGAGACAGGGGGATCAGTCCCAAAGCACTCTCTCCCCGAACAAAGGGCTGGAGGAATTTTTGTGCCACCTGGGAAAGGGGAAGTCATACACATTCATTAACTTCATACATATTCACATAGGGGTCAGGCTAGGATTTGGCACGGAAGTGGCTGAAGGACCTCTTGCTTCTGAAATGGGCTCGGTCACCGCTCCATAACATATGACTGGTGATTTTGGTTCCTTGGCATGGGTCTTTTGGTTCCTAGGCAATACTTATTATGGGATGGGGCCATCTGGTGGTCAACCTGGTCTCTTACTGCTCATGCCCAGGATTCTAGTTCTAATTGGCTGATCTGAAAGACAGCTGCAAGTGGGAAGATTCGGAGGAAACACCTTAAGCTTTAACCAGGAGTGAGGTAAACAATGTTTTGTGGTTAACACCATTCTTCTTCTAGAAAAATTTTTACCCGACATAACTTGTTGTTTAAGGCCTTTTCTGTCCCTAGCTGGTCTCAAGACCAGTAAATCTGATCTTTTGTGTGTGTGTGTGAGTTAGAATTTTGTTCTACGTGTTTCTCCAGTTCTGTTAGGGACCTTCTGTTGTGATCCCTGTCAAAGCAGCTGGTGGTGCTAG